GCGAACATTAACTTAAATTTAGACTTCATTCAAAAATGACAGAATCGTTTTATTTTTCGCCTTTTTTTCCACCCAACAGCCTCTGCTCGCTGACTTTGCTTTAATTTATCGCGCTTTTTGGGCAAGAGACATTGAACTCGAAAGTGTGTGAAGGCATTTTATTTGTTTGTTTCTGTTTCGGTTTCTGTTTCTGTTTAAGGCGTGGGCGGCCGACAATGAAATGCAAATGCTGGCTAAATAAACGAGCGGGGAAATATGTTAATTGGAACATTGACAGCTAAGTGATTTTTTCGTTAATTCCGATGAACAAATTTCTGGGGCTTAAATTGAGTGGAGGCAGCAAAAAAAAAAATTGTTAGCCAACAAATTTCATTGTGAATGTAGCAAAGGTAGTTAATTAATGAAAAACGACTGCAGTTTTTGTGCTTATACAACTAACAAATATAGTACTTTCGTAAAACTGCAAATTTCTTAATTCATTAAAAATAAACCTTAATAAAATAATTTATTTTATTTTTATCATGATGTTTTTCAACATATAAATGTGTTTTCCAACCATTTAAAAGGCTTAAATTGAATAAAAATGCAATAAATAGTTGATTTCATAACATGAGAACCATTGAATCAACATTCTTGCTATTTTTTTTTTTGACAAACCTCTATCAATGGGGATGAGTGAAAACCAGTTGAATAAAACTATTCCAACCGAATCAGGGCATCTCACAAACAACTGACTTCTGTAGATCTGGAAATAGCGCCAAGAATTTTCCATAAAAAGGCATTCTCAATTTGGTTTCGGAATTCTCATACTTCACGATACGTGACTGGGAGTTGTAATCTGCAGGAAGGAGCGAAAACCACATAGCACGCACACCACTCGAATGGAGAATAATATTTGAATTGCAAAATGGAGTGGACAAAACACAAATATAATTTGTGCAGTATATGCAAAATTGATTAGATTGGGTGCGGTTTGGCCTGGAACAATGTTCGCTTTATGGAAAATTGAAATTAGTTGACTTCATCCCCCTGAAAACCCCTCAAAACCCCTCAAAACCCGCCCCGCACAGGAATACACAGCCTGACACGTTAAATGGCATGCATAATTGAATTATCGAGTGGGTGAATTGTGGACGAAATGGGGTCGAGGCAGTTGTGGTGGTAGTGGTAGTATCGTACAAATCCAGATAACAGATATAACAATGAAGGTGTTTTGCTGTCTCCAATTTCGGCCAGTTGAAACAATTCCATGTCAATTGCAGGGCGTAATTAAATGGAGAAGGGGTCAGAGCCATCCGTAGTGTGTTTGAAATTTAATAGAATTGCCGCAGGCAAAATGCATGCGTGAGTATCTCGGTTTCTGTTTGGATTTACGACCCATTCACAACAGCAACCGACAATGGAAATTGCAATCCTGCCGCTTGTCCTGTGGAAAACTGCTTGTGTATGCACATATGCAAGTCAAATAAACGTAATAATAAAATTGTTGCATACCAACCACTCGGTCTGAATATGGTCTGAAATTCAGACTCTGGATATATGGTATGCAAATGATAAAGGGGAAGGGATTGCTACTTTTAGGGTGAGTGGTGCATATATCCGATATACGCATTTTCTGTACACATGTGCACAATGGCAGTACGTATTTTAAGTAGCACTGTAAAATCAGTTCCAAATCATTACGTATACCTACTAAACGTGAGTGATTTATGAAACATTTATTAAACCATATAAAATTTTATATTACAATCCAAATTATAGCAGTAGATGCATATTTTTTCAATTATTAGCTTGCATGTCCAGTGCTATTACTTTGGCGGTAACTGTTTGAATTTGAATTTGCAATTTGCATACTCCCTTTTGTTCAACGCTTACCGCTCGCCATGATTGAAGGGTGGAAAACACTTCAATTAGGGTTCTTTATTTGTGGGCGTTCACTGTACGTACCTGAGTTCTGTTAATCACTCGCCGGCCAGAAAGTGAGGAAGGGAACACAAAGCGCTAAAATAACAATTTAACAACTTGTTCAAGACGAGCAACTTTTCCCCCTTCACCTGTCATCCCGCCATCGCTACCCTGCCACCACTCTAACTATACCTCTCATACCTCTCGTACCCCTCAGACCCGGTAAAAGCGCTCAACCTCGTTATTGTCATTACCATTATATGAATGTATGCATGAACAATGCTCGGGTAATTATTGTTTTGGGGACAGACAGAGGCGATTGCGTGACTCGAGCACATTTGTTTTGTTTACGGAAAGTAATTGCAAAAGTTGTTTCAATTTTGCCCAACAGCGATAGCAGGCCAACCGAAGAGGGTTAACAACAATCGCTCCTGAAAGCTGTAAACGCAAAACTGGGGGAATGGAGCTGGCAAACAATGCATAATTGGCATCAGCTTAATGCTTTAACTTGCCAAGTGCCAGTGGCAAAAAATAAAATGCAAAATGCTACCAACTACCAACCGCCCACCCGAAAAAACAGCATCAAAAACGCATTTACAACGCCCACTCAAACGATGGCGCTGGGCGAAAAGTTTTTAGTTCAACGGGGGGAAACAAAAAAATAAGAAAATAAAAAAGAAAAAAGAAAACTATATGTGTATATAAAAAATTTGTAAAATAGTGAGGTGGGCGTGTGGGAGTGGCCAACGTTCTTTTTGTGCCATTTTCTTCGTTGCTTTGTTGAAATTACAATTTTCTTCTGCTATGTGCTCTCTTTTTCGGCATTTTTTCCCCCGCGCTGCACATCCGGCGCAAAAAGTGCATGAAAAGCGCAAAAATGGCACAACTACTATATATCTCCTTCCTCTTCTGTATTTTTCACTTTTTTTTTGTTGCGCTGCATGGGGAAAAAGAAGAGGAGCAGCAGAACAAGTCGGACAGTCGGACTGGCTTTTAGTCATTTTAGCATTTCAGCCATTCAGTCAGCGAGTCATTCGCATGTTATCCACTTGGTTAGGGTGATCCAGGGGATTAAGGCGGCCACAAGTGTAAAATTATACATATACCCTAATTTTGACCCTATTTTTGATAGTAAGGTCACACTGCTCTCAAACACAACGTGACCAGCTTTCAATAAATAGCAAAATAAGACGATTGTATGCCAATTCATTAGGCTAACTACAACGTAAACAGGCAGAACTAAATATAACAAAATGTGAATAAAATATTTTAATACAACACCAGAAATAAAAAGCAATATTTACTACTGACACACCCTAATAGACTCTTTTTCAGTTTATTCGCATTCGCTCTTGCCTTCTGTATTTTCCTGGTATAAACTGAAAACCAACAGGAAAAAAATAAAAATATGGTTTTTGCGAGCATTTTGGCCGAAAATGTTTGTGAATTATTTAAGGGAAAACCAAAGCATCCCAAACTAAACAAAAAATAAATGTGCATGGAGTGCTGTGGGGCACTTAAAATTCAACTTGCTAAATGAATTTGAGGCAGAATTTTGCCAGCCGTCAGATATTTTTCATCTTTCCATTTATTCGCTACCAACAGTAGCTCACTCTATACATTTTTGATTTTCCCATTTGGATTTTTGGTTCATTGTGTGTGCGTCATTTTGATGGCTTTTAATTGAAAATTAAATGGAAACCATTGATTTGTTTTCTGCTGAAATAAATATATAATTTGTACCTACTTGTTAATTAACAATTGTAACTAATTGGATATTATTATTGTTCTCATTGCAGGTTGGTATTTGATTACTCTGATTGTGACCAATAAATGTGTGTAAGTTTATAGAAAATATATTACGATTAATTATTGTCTTTATGGTAACTGGAATTTAAATAAGTAAATCAAGTTAAGTACACAGCAAGGAACAGAATTGAATTAAATATGTGGATTGGATTTTCCTCAGCCTTTTACTGGCTTTTGAATTCCCATTGAATGCGACTTTCACCTTGGCTGAACAAATCGGAAAAAGAAGGGACAACGAGTGAGTCATTGAGATAAATAGCCAGGGCATTTGGCAAATTGAAATCAAATCGATGGCGGCGAATCAAATTGAAGTCTTGCTGCGGCAAAGTCCGAAAACACGAATCAAACTTTGACTCTGCTGGCGATGGGAGAAAGAGGGAAATATCCGAAAGTGCGCCAAATGCAACTAAGCGATACATAATACCGAAAAGAAAACAGAAATCCCCACCGAGCACCGACGATGCCAGCCAGATAAAAGATGATTGAATGCAACTGGCTGGCGCTGACTCCCCGAATCCCCGCCAGAAATCCCCTGCCTTCTTGTCTGATTAACATAAATCGTGCTGGATGCTGCTGCCTGCCGCTGCCCGACTATATCTTATTTCGATTTTTTTTCCTCGCCTCTGGTTTGTTTGGTTTTATTTGGCTTTGTTTTGTTTTCTTTCTCTCAAATGAACTACGGGCTTATGCAAAGCTCAGATGGCGGCAAGGCAACGCCAGAAATTGAATGGAAGCGAGCTGAAAAATAAAAAATAAATAAAAACGAAAGGCCCCACTGAAATGAAATTCAAATGGGGAAGGAGCAGGCAGGAGCTCTCGAGCAGGAGCTGGATGTGGATGTGGACTTGGATGGGGATGTGGATGTGGACGGGGATGTGGATGTGGAGAGGTGGGCAGCAGCACCACATCAGTGCCTGCCTGCTGACTTTTATTGCAATCGCAGGTCTCGAATTTAGCGCAGTCTCCAACTTCGAATTCAGAGGCCAGAACTTAACCCATATTCAGCCCAGCTTAAATTTAAATTATCAATACTGTTTCTGTTCTTGTTTTGAGAGCAAATTCAACTTGAAGTTGTTGAACATATGATATTCAATTACCCTTTGAATTGTGTGGTGGAAGTATCTTATATCACCAAAAATTTGTATAGTTTAACTAAGACTCCTTTGCCTTTAGTCAAGCTGTTGATAAACATAATGTTGCCTAAAGTTTGAGTATTTTTTTAAAGGAAAGTTGAGTATCTGGCGTAATAAAGAAAGATCATGTCTGCGAATAAGAGCTAAGGCTTCCTTTAATGACTTTCCAAAAAGTTATCAGCATTATGCAAACATGACATGTTCCGCCCCGAAAACTATGAGTAAACCCAATACAATCTAGACTTCCTTTGTTCCGAAAATCGAATCTTTTTAAAGGCAATCAAAAATCGAAAACAGAGACGGGTTAAACTTTTTGCTGCTGCTGCTGCTGCTTTTGCTGCTGATGAGCATGAGAATGATGTTGCTGTCGGGCTCCTCTGGCTTTCTTCCTTTGGGTTCTCTGGGTTTTTATCTTTTAGTTCGCTTTTTTATTTCGTTTCCCTCGCTTCGGTTTGAACTTCATTGTTGGCTCGCTTAAAATTCCAAACAGCAAATTGCAACTGCCAACAATTTCGAGGCTATCAGTGGCATAGCATCAGGCAACCACGTCGCTGGTGGCTGCTGCTGTTGCTCCTGCTGCTGTTGCTGCTGCTGCTGCTGCTGGTGCTGGTGGTGTAGATGCTGATGTTGCTCCTACCACTGGCAGTAATTTTATGCAAGATGCTATCTCAACACACCTCAACACGCCTGCTGGAAGAGAGGAAGAGAAATGCATGTAAGCCATTTCACTGGGTTCTGCTTCTTGGCAATGTTGCTGCCGTGTTGCTTTTGCTGTTGCTGTTGCAAGTATGACAAACAGCCTGCTGCCGTCTTTTGAATGGAATTCAATTCCCATGCAGCAGGGGCAGCGGCGCAACAGCAACAGCAACCCTAGACGTCTCTCACATCTCGTGCCTTTTGTCTGCCTTTTATCTGCTGATGTTGCTGCCGTCGTTGCTGTTGCTGCTGCTGCTGCTGCTTCTCGGCACAGCAGCAATACTTGTTTAGCTCGTTTGCCGCTGTCTCCCCTGCTGATGTTGCTGCTGCAGTTATTGCCATTGTATCTTGATGCCTTTCAAGTGCCAATTGTGCGACCGCCCCGAACCTTTTTTCTTTTTTTTTTTTGCGAGACAAACTCATTGCTTATTTAATTTAAGGTGGGAATTTCAGCGTTTTCCCCTTCTTTACTTTTGTGTCACGAGCGAATTTATTCAAATTGAGTTGATAATAGTTGCGCTACTGCCGCCGCTGCCATTCAAGTGTTAATTGTTGTCGGCACCCTCTGAGGAGATTTGCCGTGTATTTAATAAATATTTGCTCAGATACAATAACGACTGTCAGGTTTAATCAACAATGAGAACAGCATTTGCTCTTTTATGGCCAACTCTAACTCTGGTCCGGCGTAATTCACGATTTCCTGCTGTAATTGAAAAGATACCAAGACAAGTTGCTGCTGTTGCTGCTGCTACGGCAGCAACATTTCAGCCAGTCGCCGGGAGTCGCGGCAGTGCATTAATTATTCATGAGTTGTCGCGCAGGCGACATTGCAGCGGCAGCAGCAGCAACAGCAACATTAGCAGCAGCAACAACTCGGAGACAGCGGCAACATAATTATTCATGCGCGCTTATCGCCAGTAAGGTAGGCAACACCATTTTAACCACAAGCGGATTATAATTATCAACAGTTGCCATCAGAACTGACAGCCGGACAGACGGACAGTTGCTACTTGGAGGCGCAGCAGCAACATGTTGCTGGCGGTGCACAATGCCTGGGTAACAGTAATGACCACGATGATGATGATACTGATGATGAAGCCAAAAACGCGCAGCAGCAAATATAATTACACGGCCAACAACAAGACAGACAGCTGCTTTAATTGATGTTGATTGCTATCAACAACACTGCCTCCGAGTTCTTCGCATTTTGCGGGGTCTCTCGAGCTCCCCACTCAATTGGAATTCTTTTCATTGCCCTCTTTTGTCAGAGGTGGAAACCTTTCCAAAATAACTAACCGTAGGAAACGAGAAAAAAACAGAAACAATGGAAAACAACATTTTTTATTGCATGTCAGCGCGGCATTAGGAGCAATCTTGGCCAAAACAACTAAATTAGCATTACTAAATTGTGCTCGGATAATGACTAAATCGAAACGGAACCATATAAAGAGCTACGCCCATGCTATTAAAATTATATGCAAAGACAATAAATCAAGCTGAAAATATTAAATACACCACCTACCGATAACTCGTGGCTAAAACAGCTGTGCATGGAATTATCTTCTTAATGTATCCGTTTAAACACCTCGTTAAACAAAGCTCATTAAAAAATATCACTAAATAGAAATTATTAGAACTACAAGCTGCTTACAATGATGTGATTAACCTATTGTTTAAACATTTCCATTGTTTTGAAAGAGGCCAACTGATGTGGCTCATAAATAGGATTTATTGCAAAGCCAATAAAAATACAAATTAACCTTTCCCAAAGATCAAATTGAAAAACTCAACAGAACACAAATGCTTTACAAATAGAATACAAACCTAAATGCAATAAGGGGGAGCCATTAAATTGAAATTAGTAGACAAGCTGCTTACGTTTTAATCATTTTTCTTGGGGCCCCTAACTTTTTTGCTTACATATTATTATTTTTTTGGCACCCCCTAAATATAATGGCCCATAAATCCGATTTATATTTTAGCTGCTGCAGCTAATGTTCGCACATATATTTATTTCGTGCTTTAATATACACATTTATTTTCCGGACCATTTGGGTTTATTACCCCAGGCGGTAGTTAAGATATTTCGTTGGTAATTGAAACTGGGTGGCGATTGTCAAGGCGACTTTATATTCCTTATTTAAATTTTGCCGGCTCAGCGCAGGTCCTGTGTGATGAATCAATCAAAACTTAATTTGCCACCGCTTCCCCTAGAAGGCATTTAAATTTTAATTAACATTTTCGAATTGTACAAAAAGAGCATTTCCCCTCTCTCTTTCACTGGGTGTATTTATCCCGTAAAAATCTCCATTCAGGCCATCTCTCTTGCTCATGGAATGAAGTTTTCGGGAGAGCGAGCGGGAGAGATGGAGTGAGAGAAAGAGAGCGAGCAGCGGCAGCCATGTTTGTTGTATGGCGCTCGTTCATTAAAGCCTGGCTGTGCGAGCGAGACAGCAACAGGCTGCTACAACTTTTGGCGCATGTTGAGCTGCGCATGCAAAAAAAGGCCAAAAGGAAGAGCAAAAGGAAGGGGATGGGCTGGGAATGGGAATGGGAAAAGGAAGGAGGTGGAGAAGGTGATGGAGAAGGAGGTTGCTAGGAAGGGGATCGGTGGAGCTGAAGGAGGAGCTGTGGGGAACGGGAAACTTTGCGACGCCTGCTGGCTTTTAGTTTGCCTTTTAAATGTTTAAACGATTAAGTCGAATTTTAATTTGGCCGCAAAGCATAACACGACTCGGCACACACACACACACACTTCTTGTTTGCCGAGTCTGTTTTTTGCCCCTGGGTGCGGACCAAAAACTAACAGAAATGTAAAGCAGGCAATAAAGTGGCAACACGCTGACTTTGCCCATAAACCAACTAACCGAATCTGTTTGGGGGCGTCTCTTTCTGCCCGCGTTTTGTTGTTGCCTGTCCACTTAGAGATGGAAGTGCAGACGATAAACGATAGACATGCAAATCAGTGGGGCCAGGCCAGTGATTTATGCTTGTTTGATTCAATCAACAGAAAAAGTGAGAGCAAATAAGAAAACATACTTGATAAATAGCCGTATATTAATTCTGTAAACAGTTTTAAATCAATATTTTGATTGTCTTGTCTCCCGGCATTGTTAACTATTTTAGGAGCTAGCAAAACACATTTGTTTGTCTACTTTATTTATCTTCTCGAAAAATTACCATCAAAAGCAAATAACAATATTTTGAAATATGTATGGAAACAAAAAAAACTAGTAGATTAAATATAAATTTGGGCAAACAGAGACTTGAGGTAAATATTAGATCTATCGTGTTTGTATAGACACAATAGGTTAAGCCAAAAAGTTTACTGAGGGACAGAAACCCAACTTTATTATTCTGTTAACGATTAATAATAACACATCCATTAAAACCTTCGAGATGGTAATTCCATTTCGTTTTATTACTTTGTACACCTCTAAATATTTTGCCTCCTTAAACCCAAGATGTTCATCGGCCCCTTGGGAAGCTGAGCTGGCCAAGTGGAGGATGAATGAAATTTAAACGAGTGTCTGGCCTTAAGAGTCCAAGTACCACAGCAACCAGAAGATGACTCGCCTTTTTCCCTTTCTCTTTCGATCCATCTGCATCTCTGCCTCTGCCGACACTCATTAATGTTTAAAGTGTTTTATGATATGCATAATTGCTTGTACAGATAATAAAGTTTTCTGCCAGACCATTGACCACCCCCGCTTAGCTTTCGGCCCCTTGGGTCATTTGTCCATTCACTTAATTAAAATGCAAATGGAAATTCTTCAAATGGCTTGCAGCACGGAGGAAAAGCCAGGGGGGAAGTGAATTGTTGGAGAAAGAGAAACGTGCATATCTCATGTCCCTGTTGATGACAGGTTCCCCGTTCCCCGGTTCGGTATGCCTTCTTTTACATGAGGAAAGAATGCTATTATGATAAGTAAAAAATATTGTTTAGGAGTTTCTAAGTTCAAATCTAAATAATAACTAAATTGTATTGAGACTAATAGTAGATCTAATCTTTGTTTAGTTTCCATTGTTTTATTGATTTGCTTTAAAAAATGTAGAATTCAAAACAATATCTTTAAAACAGTTTCAAGATCTCGAGCTATAATAGTCTTAAGTATCATAAGTGCTATTCCCACCGTTGTGCCCCTATTTTTTCAGTGCACTCCTGATATTTGCGGAAGTTTTCCCCCTGTGCATTGTCTTTGTGGCGTTGTATCTGTTGGTGTTGCTACTGCTACCGAGTTTACGACGCGTGAACGGCAACAGCAACTCATCCACAAAAGAAGAGGCGACAAAATCCTCTGCTTTTTGTTCCCCCTAACAAGAGGGGAAACCGATCTTCGATGCTTCTGCATCGTCAGCTTCTTGCTGCCCCCTTTTTTTTTATCTTTTTTGTTTTTATTGTACAAGCGTTTCCAGTGAATTTTTTGATGATATCTTTGAATGTTAACATTCACAAAAGCGTAAAAATTGTTGCCCCTCTTGCTTTTCAGCCCTCTTGATTCCCTCGCTTCCCCGCATTCCGGCATTAGTTTATATATCGGCTTTATGAGGCACTTTTTACTGCTCAACCTCTGCTCCGGACCCTTATTCCTCCATGTGTGTGCGTTCGTTTGGGTATTAAGTGAAATTCTTTTGTGTCGACAAGCGAAAATAAAATTCACACACTGCCGAACGTGCCGCAGCGAAAGAGGGGAGAATAAGCTATATACTGAGGGAAAACAAGGGGCGCGTTTCGATGTTGAAATTTTAAAGATATAAACTACTTTGATGTTGAAATTCAATTGACTTTTGACAGAACTTCGAAAAGGAATACAATTTGGTAGTGTTTTTACCTTTTGAAGACCTACCACTTCAATGGTTTTCACAATTCAAAGGTTATATCAGACTTGGAAACTGATGATATGGAATGGGTTCCTTTAGAACACATTATTATTGACTTGTCTATGTTAAAATATCAAAATCTTCTAAGTATTCGTAAACTAAAGATGTGATTTAAACACTTTTTATAAATTATAAGTTATAATAATATATTTTCCAGTGCAGATGAAAAGAGGTGGGGTGAAACCGAGTCACACAATGGTTTTTAGAGGGAAGGACGAAGGGTTGGCGGTTGTTTAACTAGCAACTGGGACTTGATGATGATGCCGCTCTGCTCCGCACCTTTCCTCACCTCTTGTCTCCTTTGCCTTATATTTTTTTCCCAATTTTTTTTCTTTTACCTGGCGGGCACAATCTCTCACAATAACAACAACAAAATCGGGAGGAGAAAAAAGGTGCAAAAGCAACAACAAAGGAACCGAAAACGAGCGACTGACGGAGTGAGAACAGCAACAACAACAGCAACAACACAGAGCAGCAACAACGAAATACACCCAATGACAAGCTGCTCGGCAATTTGACATAATTTATACGTCAAATTACTGCAAATTGATGCTAAATGGCTTCAAATTGAATTGACTGGCGCAGAAGAGGCAACAACAACTACAACAACAGCAAATTGTATGTGAACAAAAAAGAAATACGAAAAAAGAAGCAACAACTACAACAA